TATTTACCGTGTCTTTTTTTAAGGTCTCTCCTTTCACCCTATACTCTCAGTCCTGAATCTGAACATTGCATTATATCATGAGGAGGTGGGGACAGTCCATGGTTGTTGTTGTTGTTTTTAAGTGCCATCAAGTCGGTTTGAACTCATAACAACCTATGTACAGCAGAACAAAACTGCCTGGTCTTGTGCCAACCTCACAATTCTTGTTACGCTCGAACCCATCGTTGCTACCTCTGTGAGAATCCATCTCATTGCAGGGGTCTGCTTTTTTCACTGATATCAGTAATGGTATCCCTCATTCCATGTCCTCATCTGAATCTGACTTGAACCTCTGGCAGTTCCTTGTCAATATACTATAGCAGCTGTTTTTGAATTATCTTTAGCTAAATTTTACTTGCATGTGATATTAATGATACTGTCTGATGATTTCCACATTTTGTTGGGTCTCTCTATGGAATAAGCACAAATATGGATCTCTTCCAAGCAGTTGACCAGGTAGCAGTCTTCCAAATTTCTTGACATATATTAATGAGTGCCTCCAGTGCTGCATCAGTTTGTTGAAAAAATTCAATTTGTATTCCGTCAATTCTGGGAGCCTTGGTCATTGCCAGTGCCTTCAGTGCAGTTGAACTTCTTCCTACAGTAGTATTGGCTCTTGTCATATGCTGCCTTTTGAAATGGTTGAACATAAATCATTTCCTTTTGGTACAGTGACTGTGTTTTTTCCTTCCATCTTCTTTTGATGCTTTCTGCATCATTCAATATTTTGTTCATAGAATCCTTCACTATTCAAAGTTGAGGCTCAAATTTTTTCCTTAGTTCTTTCAGCTTGAGAAATGCTGAGCATGTTCTTCCTGTTTGGTTTTCTAGCTCCAAGTCTTTGAACATTTCATTATTTTATTTGACTTTGTCTTAAGCTGCTCTTTGAAATTTTCAGTTCAGCTCTGTAATCTCCTCATTTCTTCCATTTGTTTTAGCATCTCAATGCTAGAGAGCCAAGTTTCAGAATCTTCTGACATTCGTTTTGGTCTTTTCCTTTTTTCTTGTCTTCTTAATGACTTTTGCTTTCTTCCGAATGATGTTCTTGATATCATCCCACAATTCTTCTGGTTTTCAGTCATTAGTGTCTAATGCATCAAATCTGTTCTTGAGATGATCTCTAAATTCAGGTAGGATATGTCCAAAGTTATATTTTGGCTCCCATGAACTTGTTTTAATTTTCCTCAGCTTCTGCATGAATTTGCATATGAGCAATTGATGGTCTGTTCTGCTGTCTGCCCTTGGCTTTGTTTTGGCTGATGATGCGGAGCTTTTCTACCCTCTCTTTCTACAGGTGTAGTCAATTTGATTTCCATTATTCCAGCTGGTGAGGTCCACGTGTTTGTTGTTGTTGTTGTTAGGTGCCATCAAACTGGTACCAACTCATAGTGACCCTTTGCACAACAGAACAAAACACTTGCCTAGTCCTGGGCCAACCTCAGTACTGTTGCCACACTTGAGCCTATTGATGCTGCCACTTTGCCAGACCATCTCACTGGGGGTCTTTCTCTTTTT